AAAAATATGCATTATACGGACACAATGGTTGTCCAACGAATGAACATGATGAATGAAAGAGTCAAACGATGGTCCCGAAGCCGGTAATGTCCAAGGATATACATACATACATCCGCGACGGCGGCGTCGTCTTTTTGCCTCCACTTTCTTTCTGTTTTTTTCCCCTCTCTCGCTCTCTCCCTTTCTCCTCCCTGGTCTACCATCTCTATCCGCCCTCTTTGACGCAGTCTCAGCTTTGATATTCCTGCCAGAATATCCCACTTATAGTTACTGCATAAGTCTGTGCTTTCCCTGACTCGTCACCCCACCCTTTTTTGTTCCCCTGTCCATCTTGCCCGCTTCATCGTTCTTCCCCTTCGTCTTCTCGTTTCCGAGCCTTCTTTCCTCGTCGCCTCTCTATTTCTCTTCCTCCGACTACAGATCACGAGAAAAATATACAAATTCTTTTCTCTCGGTTTCTCACCGACAATCTTTGTCCCGTCTTCTCGCGGAGGGGTGGTGGGGAAGGGGGGCGGTGGGCGACGACGTTGAATGGTTTAAAACGCGTTGCATTCGTTCGGGGATGCGCGAACGATTTGCCTTAACGCGGCGAAACGAAGGTCGGGGATCGATGATTAAAGGAATCTCTTTAGAGGCTAAGGCTCTCCTTGTCGTTTCAACGTTCACCGTCGATCGACCGTCGCGGTTTCTATTGCAACAGCACACGCGTTCCTTTTCCAAGATTCTTGAATACCGTGAACCTCGGGGTGGAACGACAGTAATTACGCCGATAGGAATCTGCGCGTAATTGCCAGCTCTCGAAGCGATAACTTTTTAGCCTCGTCTTCCTTCTTTTCCTCCTAACGCGATCGGCCGAGCAAGAAGGCACGATAGAGCGCGCGAATGACCGTTTGAAAACGGGAAATTGGGATTAGACACGGTGACGAGAAGAGGGCGTGTGTGTGTGTGTGTGTGTGTACGACGCGTAGGCAAAAGAGGGGGATGGGGTGGACGTATTAAAATTGGTACCGGCGAACGAACGATCGGCAGGAATTTTCAGGGGTCCCGAAACGATGGAGGTCCGTACGATCGACGGGCACGCCCACTTTTTCGTTGTTCCAATTAGGCGGGAACCCTTGCCGTGGGTTTTATTTGGTAGTTGATTGGTGTCGGCCGGACAGTAGTGGGAATTAATGAAGACGGTCACACGGGGTAGGATATGTCGAACAGTTATTGGCCATCGAATAATTTCCACAAGCGCTACGCGGATTTTACGGGAGTTTAGATGTCGAAGCAATTAGTACCGGCGACACGATTCTCCGGTGAAAAGGGACCATGATATTGAGCATTATACGTATTACATACATACACAGACATAAATTGCGAACAATCGTGTAATCGAACGAATCTTTCTTCTATAAACCATTTCGTCGCCATCTAAAGGTTCATTGGCGCTTCCCAAAAGTGTAAGAAACTCATTTGAGATGTTATACGTGGACTGGTTCACCATGTTTCATCTGACGTTTTTGCCACTACTATTTGAAATGTCAATTTTTTTCTCAGTGGTACAGGTTGTTTAGGAGGAATAATAATTTAACTTCGTCAGGTTAAAATTGCTCGTTATTACAATTTAAAAGTAACCAAGTTATTGAAGCACGCGTCCGGGGCCAGTCGACACGTAATGAGAGCGGTTACCAGTGAGTTAAACGACTTTTAATGGTCGGTACATCTACCACAGATTCTGTACTTTATTGTTGGTGAAATTCTAAAAATAACAACAAACCGACACTTTTTTCCTCAAAGGTAATTGTAAATACAATTTCGAACATGCAGAGCTTCAATCAAGTTAATTAAAACGAGTAGTGTTTCATACACAGTAGCCTGTCCATTTTCATTCGATCCACTACGAGCACCTAAGTTTTTTCAACGATTATCGTTCATGAGAGTATACTAAAATACAGTAATCAATGGAGACTGCGGCTGGATATACAACGACCTAATAACACTACTCCGTGCAACATTATCGTGTGTATCGAGGTGGACGAAAAAAACTGTCTCCGCGTGAGCTCTCGATATTCACAGACGCACAGGTTTCAGGTTCGGGGGGGTCACCGGAGAACTTCCCCATACATATTCATGCCGGGTATTTACCTAAGGCCAGAAAAGAACTGTTAAGAACCAAGGGCAGCAACGTATCGCATTATTACGAGGGTCCTCACGGAGATCCTACGAATACGTAGGTATATGCAAATGACACCGTTCCCGCCGGGGAAACCTTTAAATCACACATCGGGGCTACCAATAACACGTCGACGATCGTAATACAACACAGCCTTTATACGCTGCGCGCCCGAGCAAGAGCACCAAAACCGTTCGTCCTCGAGTTAAAAGGATCGCGTTCTAAGTACCGTAACATGCAATAACAGGCTTTCATCGGGCATAATTCTTGCCGGGATTAAAATAAACAAATAGACGAGAACTACGCGTGTACGGCGTAATCGGTACATACCTTGTTCGTCTGAGTAAAAAGTCTGTGCGTAGAAAACAACAAAACAGATTACTGATATTCGAGTCTCCCTTTGCCCCATTCACCATAATATATCCTTATCTCATCTTTCGGACCGTGCAATGAAACACGAAGGAGGACTCGAAGCGAATCATTTCCTTCAAAAACGGAATCTCCCGACGAAATTTATACATCACAATTCACCACGCATAGCCGCCATTAACGCGTCGACGACCCAGGATTGGGTGAGGGGGGAGGGGGAGTTGAGGGGGGAACAAGACGGCCACGGTACATCAACCTCCGGTGGAAACGGAGCTGCCCGGTCCAAAGTACCAAAAGGAGCCACGCCGTGCTTTTATCGCGAGTAATTCGGGCCACGATCGTACGTATACGGTGTCTAATAAATTCGTGAATGGCCTGGCTGCGACTGAAATGTCCTATACACCCACGCGCACACACACACAAACATACGCGTCCCCCTGTAGGACGGAATAACTACGCCCGGGCGCGTTTTGAGCGGTTGGTGTGTTGTGTGTGTGCGCGCGCGCACGTGCCTCGGTCCCGAGGTTGTTGGCGTTCGTTGCACGCTTAGGGTGGGTACCAACCGAGCCGACGTACCGACATGGGGGCACCGAGAGAGAGCGGATATTATCGCCAAACGTTAATTTGGTCGAGGCCCGGCCTACCTTCCAATTTTCAAGCCCTTACACGCCCACTTACGAGATTGTCCGTTAATGCTCCGAAACGTCGGGACGCGTTTTCGACGCCCGCGTTTTACCGCCACAGAGAGCTTTACGGGCTCCACGTAGATATCTACCACCGGGCTGAGTATGTACATCTTTGCCGAATCTCTCGAAATCTGAAATAACACGAGTACGTGGCGAAGTGAAATCGCCGTACTTTGGTCATCTTCTGGTACTTGGTATCCAGACATTTGACTTTCATGGAATAGATATACCTTAGAGTGCTATAACTAGAACCCTAGATATACAGATATACTAGTTCTCTCGATAGCGATAATTTGTACAGACTAATTTTCCAATTGCCAATTTCCTAGGTTCTATATCTTCTAGCATTCACTCTTCATTGTAATAGATTAACGTCTACGGAACTTTACCAGTGTAATATTCGCACTCGAACGGTGCAAGCACTTGATGGTACGTACGTAAAAAGCTAGTCTGTCCAGTATCGATACCTAACTGTTGCTTCACCATCGATAACGTGTCCCCGCCATTAATGCGCGCAAGTGTTCCGTTAATACCGTCGGTCTTGTCCCACGTGACGCGCCGCGATGGGAATTCATATTCGTGAGACCCGTCACGACGGTGAATGAAATTAAGCGTTTTCGAGAAAGAACGAGTCGTCCATCTGGACGTTAAGAAAACAGGGAAACCGTATTTCAACGGTGCCTCGACATTCCCCCCCGGTGGCCAGGCCGGGCATCATCACGCGCGCGCGCGCAAACGGGCCGTATTTAATTTATGTAACGCAGAACAAATATACCCGCCGCCGCCGACCATGTAAGCGTGTGGTGCGTGGCCGGCGAAAGGATAATAAATACCGGCGGGGGCGAAACAAGTGGAGCAACCGCGTGAACCAAGAAAATAGTCGCCGCGCCGATTCGTAGACCCCGAAATAGGGCGGTGTGAACAGCAGGAGAGACGTTACTTGTGCCTGGTGCAACGTGGAGGAGACGTGTATTGGCGTATGTGAGCGCTGTTGGAAAGAACCGGTTATATAGGAACCGTCCTCCACCTTCTCCATCTTCTTCTTCTTCTTCTTCTTCTTCTTCTTCTTCTTCTTCTTCTCTACCTCCACTTCTTCTTCTTCTTCTTTACCTTCCTTTCTACATATTCGCCGACCTTTCGTTCCATCCTCACCAAGTACCCAGCAAGTTCTGCTACATAATACAACCGAGCCTGCATACACAAGCTCACCTGTGTGCGTACATATGTGTATCTGTATGTGCACACGTACCTGTAAAGGGCCGCGCATGTACACTTACGTGGGGTCCCGACACCATGGGCGCCTGCCTATCTGACATTGGGTGCCTACGAGGGCGAGTCCGCGTCGTCGTTTCTTTTTCTCCCTTTCTTGACCCGGCTACCGACGGACCCCGGAGGGGAACCTCCGGGGGCGTTCGGAATTTCGCGAATGTTTCATGGATACCCTCGTTTCCGAGCAAGACCGATACGCGGAAACGGGGCCCCTCCGAATCTATTGTGCCTCCACCGAGGACAACCCGCGGTGAACCGAAGGCAGTCGTTAATGTTCGTACTCATCAGGTTGATACGCCCGGAAATCATTTTTCAAACGTCGGATGTTGTGGTTTGGTATAGCGATGAATAATTTCTGTTCCACCCTTGTCAGGAAATTCGTTAAATTTGCATACACCGTTTAACATCGAAGGCGTTGAACTCGAATCCGGTGCAAGTTTTCTGGATTATCGTTTAAGAAACACATTATAATTTCACCGTGGAACATTGCTTAATGAGCCGCATTCTTTCTGTTACAGATTTCGAATAGACAACACAGATCACATAATAGACGTGAACAAGAACAACGCGCAGTTCGAGTACGATCAGCTGAACATAGTATGTCCTGCGTACACACCGGGGACGTATGACGACGAGGTGGAGAAGTATATTATCTACAACGTGAGTATACATCGTTCCGAATAATTCGACCTCTACTTCCGGTAAAAAGTCTGTCACGAACCTACATACATATATGTATATATTCCTCGTGCTCGAATCGACAGAGAAATCCAGTTACAGGACCGTCGGTCCCATTATACGAAATAAAAAAGAAATTGTCAAAGGGCGTTCCGTGGATGTTTGGACAGCTGTTGCTACTCGAGGCTCGTTCGTTAACTCGCTCTCCGCGTCAGACCCCCAAGAACGACTTCCGCTTCGAAGCCAACTTTTTGACACCACGCGCGCTGCCATCGACGGGGGGGGGGGGGTTGCTGTTACGCACCCTACTCGTAAAAATATTCACGGACGTGAATATCGTTCTCGACATTCCTGAAATAATAGAACGCTCCTCGACAAGCTGTGCTCCAGATCGCGGAACGTGGAAAACATTTCGTAAATCACAAATTGTTCCTAGCATCGGTGGAAAGTTTTCCCCCTCGTTCGTTTTATCGGATATTCCGGCATCGTTCGGCGATGCAGACGTAAGCACGAACTTACGAATCATCCGCCAAGATCTAATCACCGCCTCGATGTCCTTTGTCCCCCTTGCGCATTGTCTCGACATCGAGGGGGGACCTCAACAATAGACATTACTTCTCCCGTTGACCGTGTCTTGTGCGGGGCGAAAACTAGCCGAGTAACAAAAATCAGCTCCTTTCCACGGCTGGGCACAATCGACCCGCGGCAGAAGTTCCTTCACGGTAGTCAATCAACGATTAACGACCTCTCTGGGACCCCGCGTTCTGCCTCCGCAAACACCGCGCGCTGCCCCAGACATAAAACAAAGAGAACGACGAATGGGAGGGCCGCCGGTTTCGTGACAGACCGGAAGCGTCGCCGATCGATTCGCGTCAGATATTTTTCACACGACGCGGTCCGTTGTCCCGTAGGTGTCCAAGGAGGAGTACGAGACATGTCGGATAACGAATCCGAGTCCGCGGGTGATAGCGGTCTGCGACAAGCCGTACAGCAAGCAGTACTTCACGATCACCTTCAGGCCGTTCACACCGCAACCCGGAGGCCCGGAGTTTCTGCCGGGACACGATTACTACTTCATCAGCACCTCGTCCAAGGACGACCTTCACAAGCGGATCGGCGGAAGGTGCACCACGAACAACATGAAAGTCGTGTTTAAAGTCTGCTGCCGCAACGAGTCCGACACTTCGTTGTCCTCCGCGACGTCGCGCAATAACTGTGAGTATCCGTTGCACCTGGCACCACGTTGATACATTTCTCGTCTTAGTATAAAGTATTGACCACTCAAATGTAAGTTGAAGGTGGAGAGTAGTAACCTTCGAATGCTTTAACCCTCAGACACCACACTAGTGCGTACCTCCACCGGCGAAACATTGTTTCGTCTGTTCGTTTTGAAATTTACCATTTCTTTGTAAGAAATTTTCGTGACTAAAAAATTATTACTGAGTTTTGCAATTGTTATCATTAAATACCTGAGGAAGTTTTGACTTAAATAATATTATATGAGTTCAGTGTGCTTTTAGTCCCTTCAAGTTCTTAAATATAAAAGATTCGAAATATCAATTCGCACTGGTGTAGTACGTACGTATCCTGAGATGGGGTGTGGTTTCTGAGGGTTAAATCAACCCGTGAATAATGAAATATTTAGTATCTTCAATGAGGTATGCATACATATCGCGCGTAGAAAAGAAGATAGGGGAACAAAAACTATCGGTCCCATTCCTAAATTTCCAAAGGTTTCATCCTCCCCAAACATCCTAACAATACCCTAATCTAAAGAGCAGTTTCGCACATCGCCCATATTCTAAACACCCCGATTATCATAATCCTGAAATTATAGAGGTGATCCTCAGCAAGGAACACGGCGCACCGCCTTGTCATTCCGCGTGTAAGTCACGTTTAAAGTTCTTCACGCTTTCGCGTCAGTCTCGCGCGTCCTCGGTCCCGTCGAACCGCAGGAAGAAACGAATCAGAAGAAGACCGCATCATAAATTCATTATCCCGTGATCAGTTACAAAGAGGAACGACTTCCATATCGAACGGGTCCACGGCTGGTGTGGTATCTTCTGCGTCGTCCTCTGAGATCGTCCTACCCATACCCTCTATTTCTCATCAGGCACCCACCATTCTGGACCCCGCCCTCCTCCCCCCTCTTAAATAATCCCTATCAATTATAATTCTTACCGTGCATCATTTGTTGCGGTTAGGGGACTAACGCTATGTCCCAGAGCACAATAAATTCCACTATTTCATTCTAGCCCGGTCTCTCTTCTTCTCTCTCTCTCTTCCCCTAATTCGTTCCAGCCGCCCTCTTCCAACACCACCTCCGCACCTCCTTTCTGCCCGCTACCACCACCGGCCCTCGGACACTCGCCGGAGAGACGATTCACGCGCCGTAATGACTAGCTATTTCGCTGCCCCGAGAACTCTGAACTCTTCGGCGTCGGGCATTCGAGATTCCACGGGACTCTGGCCACGAAATCTCTCGGCCGTTATCGGTCACGAACCGCGAGAAATGTTAATCCCGCGGAAAATTTCCGACTCTCGTCCGCATCCACGGCACTCGCGACCACCACTGGTAAAAGACGTTTACGAAGGCAATTAGTCGGCGAAAACGGGGAATTAATTTCCGATTTTATTTCACCGGCGGAAGTTATTTCTTGCCGGTCTTCGAGGGTCATGCCTTTTCCCTTGCTGGCGGGATGTATCGATGCTTCCTCGTGGAATATTCTGTTCATGAATACCATACTCAACTTTATAAAGAATGTACGAAGGAGAGAGTTTAAGACTTCGGGTGCTTGTAGTACTCACCGAGTGGGATAAAAAATGTCTAATCCAGCATAGGTCCTCGAATCAATCCTTTGGAATTAAATATAAAAAGTTTATTGTTATTCCATTAATTTTAATATATAACTCATATCTAGGGATCAAAGATCGACTGGACATTTTCAGATATTCCATTCGTATCTTGTGTTGCCTGTTGTCATAGAATCTTGTACTAATGTATTTCTAAAGCAATTCTTCTTTATACATTCAATATATCGCCAAATGATTTACGACATCGTACGCTCATAAATGTACAAGTTGATTTTACATTAAAAGGATTTATTTTAGGATCCATGCCGATTAGGCATTTGTTACTCCACTCGGCGAATATTATAACTCCTTAAAGTTTTAGACCCTTTCTTGGAACACTTTGTAATATGTTAATCTTTCGGAATCCCCCTATACATTGATCCAATATACCTCTTCACACAATTCGTTAACGTTTTTCGTGCAATTCGTGAAATTGATCCTGTCTTTCAAAAACGTTTCATTTCGACGTGGTTACGGAAACTGGAAAGCCTCGTATTCTCACTCGTTTTTGTCTCCTTCGGCGTATGTACGTCACGATTACGTGCACTCGTATCAAATTTTTACGGTATCGCGTTCACAGTTGTAACTGTAATGGTGGATACCCCCGCGATTCTATTATTATGTACGACTATTATACGCGGCCTATAACCGCCGCCACGATTAAATAAAATTTAACGACCGCAATCATAACCGCGTCTATTTCGATTCGGACGCCGCGTTAAAATACCGAACGTCGGGGCTCTGTACACCGGTAATTGAAATCGATGGCAATTCCGCCGAACCCGTTTATGGCCGGTCGTTGACGCGGCTACGTCCGCCGGATCTAACCCAGGGACCAGCTGAAAATTATACAAAACCCGGTCGTTGCTAACCCCGAAATTGCGCGACAGCGTTAACTTAAATCATTCGTCCGCAAAACGCCGTTATTGCTGGTAACAACGACCGAACAATCGAGAATCGACGAAACTGCGAGTGGACTCGTTAGTTTGATCCAACTAAAAAAATCCCACGTTCCCTGTATCCTTTAATATTTTTTATATGCTATTTCATTAACACTGGAACTGCCATAGCAATCAAAATGTCTGGTTCGTAGACTCTTATAAAGATGATTAAAAAGTCGTAACGGTGTATTGTCTGAGATTCTTCGCTGCTTGTGTTGCGATACAATGAGTGAATGGGTTCGTCAATTTATCGATTTACATATCTTCACGAATCTGTCCATTTTATCTACGTGATAAAAGTAAAAACACGTTTGTCTTTGGCAGTTCTAGTGTTGAAATTGTCATAATCAATCATTCGTTCTTCTTCCCTATGACTTAACATTAACTTCCTAACTGAACAAAAAATACAAACAAATGTTTACTGATGTATGATTGACTATTAATAAAACCCGCGGTTTTACAGTAGACAAAAATCGTAGGAAGATCTCACGATGATCATATCGTGTAGTTTTTCCAACGCCATGTGGTTCGTTGAATAATTTTGTGAGCTAATTTTGAGTCTTGCTGGCAATGATGACGTTATAATAACCCGGTAGTGGAAGGTAATTTTTTCTGTGTCTTTTGCAGCGGTCCCCGTGACCAGCAGCACCGTGCCAAGCAGCAGCTCGACCAGCCCCGCGGTTTTGGGTGGAGGAGCCGCTGGACTGCCACCCCCGCCACCGCCTAGCGTCCTCAAGGGCGGAGATCGATTCTACCCAGGGGGCAGTATTCATCATCATCACGATCATCATCAACCGGCCACAGCAGCGCCGACCCTGCCCCACGTGCCCCCTCCGGCTATCTACCCCGTGCATCCACATCAGCCTCCGATTCACAATGGACCGCCGTCTTCCTTGCCGCCCAAGACCCCGATCGGCCAGAAGAAGAAGAACAGTACGTATATACATAACAGCGGCTTGCCACCTGCTCCGTTTGCCGCGAAACGAGTTTCACGATGCTCTCTCCCCGTGACCATTATCTCGACCATTGATTTTTCCCCGAGAGACCCACTCCCACCACCCTTCCGCTCCGACATTAATTGCGGAATGGGAGTAGGTATGTCGATCCACATGAATTAGAGCCAGTTTTCAATCCGAACACTCAAAGAGCCGGGGCCTCTGATTTCCAAGGACGGAAAGATAGGAGATATGTGAAGCGCTCGGTCTTGTACACGAAATGGCCGAGCGTGTGTGTATGTGTCGTTCGTGAAAGCCCCTAAGGGCTACGAGGATCCCTTCTTCCTCCGTTTATCGGTGATAAACGCGAATCTTTTCCGCGAAACGAATTTCTGGATGTTACCCGCAACCATTTATCACGGTCAACGATTCCTCTCGTGACGGGTGCATCGAAATTAATTACAATACCGAGGGCCTGCGTTGATTGACGCAAATTAGGCGGCCAGAGTGAACGTCGTATTGATCGATGACTTTTTCCGTGACAATAGTCGAAGTTAAATGCTTGTCGGCCGGTACAAAGTATAAACCTTGTTTATAGGGGCATCAATGATCACCGATTAGCTTCGTGAATGTTTGCCGCGCGGACGTTTGTTCGATTGACGCGATGGAACGTCCAAGTTAATTATCGGCAATGGAAGCCTCGATAATTACAGGAATTCGGAGTCGGTGTGATTGGCAAAACCGTGAAGGACTTCCCGCGATAGTGGATCACGGAGGAAATGCAGTCCCGCGTCGAGGGACCGGAGTACCGCGCCGCGTTTTGCCATTGCGCTCCGGCTTGGTTAAGGTGTCTTTAATCGTTGCTTCCTTTTTGCCGGGTCTGGTAATTATTACTTTGTGTCGAAATTACCGTTGCATAAAATTAAGATAAACTACTCATCCCTCCTCCCTCCGCCGGATGACTTTACTGCTCGTTATCTTATGTAAATCTTTCTTTCGGAGGCGGAATTGCCGGGTTGCGTTCGGGTTCGTTATTAGCGCTGCGTAATTGATATTTCTCCTTTTCGAGACGGCGCGCACAGTCGCAAAATATCCTTTTGCCCGTTTCTTTCCTTTTTTTTTGTTTTTCGTCTCTTGTCCTTCCGCGATGGGTTTAGGACACCAGCAGGGGGGGAGGAAGGGTAACCCGAGCGTCGGCGTCGGGTTCCAGTCATTAAATTACCGTTATGTAGTTGAACGTGACGGTCCATTGCGTGCCAAACAATCATTTTACGTAATTCATTCGGTATATCGGTCGGTCGCATTAAGTCGGATAAAGTAAATAACGAGCAAATAAATTTTAATGAGCTTTAAAGTTTATCGTTCCTCGTACCTTGTTCTACTTATTACGAGCCGGGGACCGTTGCGCCTCGAGTTAAATTGCATCGGAAATAGTGATTATTAAAGCGTGTACACCGGTCCTCGACGCAGCACGTGAAACTCTTCGATGACCGAGGAATGGTTTAGCCGCGACGTTGCAACGTCCAAAAATGAATTTTTATTTAAATATAACATGCTACATCGATCGATACGTCGGTATCGACGAATTAATATCTCAATTCCCTCGGATTACGGAATTACAAAAAATTATCATTGATCTTGTAAACGTAAACTGTTTCGCCTGATGACGTGTAGAGACGTGCATGTAAAAAAAATTTCAATACACGAAACAAAACGTTTTGTTAGAGCGCGTGCCAGATGGGGGACAGTCGAATGAAAAAACAAATTGAATTCGACGACTCCCGACAACCATCTGTCGCTCTCAACTAGATGCTCGCCCTTCTTATGTCGACACCTATGATAATTTCAATTCGAATATGCACGGACGAGCACATTTGCATTTCACTGATAAGCAGCTCAGTCATTAACGAGCCACGGTGTGTTAGGTCGTCGGCGCGACATGAGAATTTGTATTCCCAAGCTGTCTGATTGAGATTATGTACCTGGATACGGTTTGCTTAATTCGAGTTTGTAATAATGATTCAACCACTCTCGATTTTGATCTTGCCTTCGAAATTACAAGTGGTTGATAAAATGTACGTCAACCATTTTAGCGTTGCGATACAATACGAAAATCTGGTATAGAATAACAGAAAATTCTTGATAAATGTTACTTACCGGTGGTCGACGTTTCCGGTCCAAATTGACAATTCTACCGTGGTGTTCGTTTTTGTTTCTGCAAGGCATCCATTAAGCTACGAAAGTATTGTAGTAGGAACTGCTAGGAATTCGGCAAGATTCTTGTTGAATGATTCCTGTGGATTGAAAAGAATGTGGTCTTTTAGTGTTTTAATACGATGTGCTTAAGTATGTTTTCATAATAAGATTATATATATTGGATGAAATATTACCATAATCCAATTACAATATTTAAACTGGGATTAATGGTCATGGAGCATCGAACTATAAATATCAATTCCCTTTTATCGTCTAACACAATGCAAAGGAAATAAAAACCAGTCGATCAACCTGCTTTATCTAACCTCGTAGATCGTCAATTGGTTTTTGCTTTATTTCTCAATCTTAGTGTATACAAAATAGGACCGATTTAACAATTACTTTGTTTGTGCCAACAGAAGAATATTCGGACCACCCGAACGAAGTGGTGAAGAACGAAGAATTGACCTACAACGGGGCGAGTTCCAGCCGCGTTCAGAATCGGTGCAGCGAGCTTGCGGTGGTGCTGACAGGAAGCCTGTTGATCAGCACGTTTCTGCCACAGTTACTGCGGTGAAGCAACGGCGCTACCGACGAGAACGTATATCCCATACGTCGAAACCCCTTTTTCTGTGATTATCCTACGTTTAATTAATTTCTTGAGGCACGCGCGTCACCCCGCGCGGCCGCCGTCCCTCGATCGTGAAAAATAAAACGCGCACGATTTATGGTCGGACCTGCCTCGAGAGAGAGAGAGAACGAGAAATCTTAATCGTGAAGAAGAATGAGAAGAGTTAACGAAAAATGAAAGACTAGAGAGATATGGGTTAGGGAAAAATAAAAGGAGTAACGAAGATCGATGAGCGAACGTCGAGAGAAGAGACATGCACGACACACGAGCAGTAACGCCATATTAAACTATTTGAGAGAACAAAAAAAGGTAAAACGAAGAAAGAAGAACGCGGACGTAGATAGTAAGATTACAAAGACGAAAAGAAAGACGAAACGAGGTGAAACACTACTACTAGACACTATTATAGTATGCCCACTATTATCACTACTATAAACGGTAGTCGTATTGGTTGTCCTTCTTATCATTACGCTAATTCTAGATATTTATTCGAAATACGAGGGAAAAGAGAACGAAGTCGTGGACAGCGTGCTAACTATCCTCTAGCGAGGCAGGCGACGCTAAAGACATCTGTCAGGGTAACACGGAAACCGTTCGAACGTCTCGTTTTTCGCGGGATCTTCCATCGTATCGTACGACTGGCCGCCGACGTTGATGGACGAACGGTCCTTTGTCACCGACTAAACTCGGCCGTTCACACGAATGGCAATTACGATCTCGTGAAAAAGTAGCCGTTTGTGTGTGTGTGTTGTCTTTTACTTTCGAAAAATCGAACTTGCAAAATTCACGCGAGGAACCAAATGACTGATAGTATATGATAGTTGTATATAGCCAAGTAGATCCTAGACAATCGGGTTCTATCGATGCAGGAGGACGCTAGGCTGTATACATTATTTCGTTTTAACGCATCAAAAAGTATAATACTGACAATTAGCAGAACTTCTCTCGTTAGAATGAAAATTCGAGAATTTAGTTAATGTTAAATGAACCTCAACCGTTGAATTAGAACAGCAGAAACAATTGAACTGAAACGGAGTACAGTCAGTTCGTACCATCCTGAGTAAAACTCAAGACTTTTCACGCCCTGTATTTCTGTTGATTCTTTCGTCTCGGCGCCCGAAGCATGGAAACTTTAGCTCCCCGGGCGATTTTACGACCACACTACATCTCTTCCAACAAAAGTAAATGCGTAGCTTACTCACCAGTCTTTCTTTCCGTGCTATTCTCAGCGAAACACGTCCATCCAGGTAAACACGTTTCACGATACACTGGGCATTGAATCGAAAACTAATCGCGGTTAGTTTAGATAATCGAATCGATTGTCCATCTTGCGATTGCGCGGGCAATTCGAATCGAACAGTTGACCCGAGAAGCGGTCGATGGACGAAGGACCGTTCGGAACGTGCTGGAGGATCGCGGGCAGGATAATTAGCACGCGTGTAAATAAATTCCTAATGAATATGTACAAGTGGCCCTTGTCCCATCGCCGGGACAGAGGGGGATTTAAGAGAGTGCCGTATACTAGGTAAAAATCTAATATGTATATGACACACGGAAAGAGTGCGACACAGAGTGAATGGAACTAGTACGTACGTGTGGGGGGGTTACGAGACACCGTGGCGTACACGGGTGATCGCCCTACGGATTATCAGTGTCATAAAATAAAAAGAACTGTAAAACGTGCGACGAACTTTCCGTTAAGTTCCGGCCGCGGTTCGCGAACCGTGGACAAATTCACGTGGAAACGTGCAAGTTTCGTCGTCGACGTCGTGAAATTTCCTCGCTTCGATCGAAATCGTCGAGAAAGAACAAACACGGGAACGCGAACGAACGAGTGAGGAAGCATGATATGACGATGCGTGAAAGAGAGAGACTGATCGCGGAGTGAGAAATAAACATTTTTGTATCATAGTTGTACCATACCGAAAACTCTATCTATAGATCTGTATTATATTTATTCTCCGCTATCATTACGCTACGAATAATCACACTCGATATTCTATATTTACTAGTAAAAATATCAAATTTCAATAGCGAATAAATTGAATATTCGGCGGGTTTAAAGCGACGTGACACGAGAGCAAGAAAAAAAAAAGAATGAAACGATGTCATCATCGAATCGACCGTCGTTCGTTGTTTTCTTCTTCTTTTAGTTTCCTCGTGTATAAACACTCGATGCGTCGGACTCGCGGGCCCGGGTGTGTATTTTTGCTACCCTTGCGGGTTTCGACGAATCAGCCGTGCGATCGTTCCATTGTATTGTCCTTCGTATTACACCGTTCTCTTCGATTGTAACTGATTTTTTTTTATACTCTATTTATTATCCAACAGACACTTCGTTTTCATACGCGCGCGTGCAAGCCGCATTTATTTGTAAAACGTACAGGATTACATGTATACATGCACAGTGGTCACACGATCGTTATATACGCGATTCCGCTCGGATCTGTCTGCGTACATGCCGACAGCAGCACCCCTCTTCGCAAGCGTTAAAGCTTCGTTCACGCTGCGATCGCTAACCGTTTCCTTTTTTCTTATTTTTGTAAACGCCCGTTGACGCTTGTCGACAACACAATACAGCCATGGTCATAGTAAACGTCAAGTATATCAGATTATGTATCACGCGACGACATATTGCGATGCAATGTATCATGCGTGCACTGCCATAAGACATTGTTGTCGTGTGAGCGTAACTTTAAACTTTGAATCGCGATCCCGCCCATAAAATATTAGTCTCACGATGACTGTCTCTGTTGTTTTACGCACCTCACAATCGATTAATTACGTTCAGTACGATTTGAGCAACCTAAGAAAAAGGAAACACAGTGAAGCATACTCGTTGGAGATCAGTATGAACGGAGCTTAAAGCGCATAAAGTTATTCCCCGCGTAAAGAACGTGCGTACGATGGCTGATGATCGTTCGAGGATACAAGGAAAAGAAGAATTGCGAGCATAAGGTGTCTCGTGTCGGCCAATAGAAGGAGATCAACCGAATGGCGTCTAGAATAACGAATTATTGTAAATACGTGTATGCGGAGAGCGATAGGTGTATCGTATGAGGCAGAGAGAGAGAGAGAGAGAGAGAGAGAGAGAGAGAGAGAGAGAGAGAGAGAGAGAAAGAGTGCGAAAGAAACAGCAAAGCCCAATTCCGAATCGTAGATAATAAAAGATGAACTGTGTCCTCATGGCTGCTCGATTGACCGACTCATTTTCATCGTTCATTGATGATTCATCATGGCCCTTGATGACTAACGCGACAACCAAGTAAAATATATGTATGTCAACGACAACGATCAGCCGGGAATGCTAAAGGGAAACGTCGGAAATTGAATGCGTGTATAATGTTATCCATTACAGTATTGTAAGCCTAAGTATTACATGCCTCCGATCCACGTCTGTTTGTCTGTCTGTCCGTTCGCCTGTCTGTTTACAGTTTGTACTTTTACGCCCCCATGTGTTAATCGTAATAGCAATCCGTAATCGTACGAGCGATCGATGAGGGAAGGGGAGGAAGCAGTCACGACGATACTCGTGCCACGATTCGCTTACATTCTCCGATCTATTCGATTTTCTTCTGATCCATTTCGTTACTGTCACGAAATCTGTTCTTAGTTTTTCTAGTCGTAGAATCGTTCGATCGCTGACCAACCCGCAAATCGAAAACCCAAAGACAATCACCTGCACAGTGTAAAGCGTTCGAAAACGCATCAGCCATAGATCAGTTGCCCGTAGTGTCACGATCCTTTACAGATAACGTTTGTAACCTTATATCACGGTAGAAGCAATCACACGATGTACAAAATGTTCTCGTAATGTACAAATTCGCTTTGCGGGTCTGTGAGTTTTTATTTTACTTTGCAAGGCGGGCGCGGTATTTCTATAGAAGATACGGCGCGATTTACGTTTCGATGTTATATGGACGCGACGCGATCAACGGAACACGTGGAACGGTTCAACAAGATCGAATCGTGGATGTATCGGCGGACTGCTTCGCGCGACGAATTATCGATCGTCTCGATAGCGAATTTAATCAGAGCCAGAGCGGAAAGAAGCCCGTTAAACAATTACATAAATGCAATAGCAATGCATCAAAGTTACATAGATCCATGTGAATGGTACACATTCTTACGGACGATAGGTGAATAACAGTATAACAATAATATAGACTCGAACTATCGATAGAAAATAGACAAGGTCACTCACTGCAATTCATTTTTATTTTCTTTCCTTCTTCTGTTTTATTTTTCGATCCGTTCCAATGCACCCGGTCCATCCAATCCGCCACAGTCCACCAACCCGCCCACCACCCCCCCCCCGTCGCACACCGACCACGTGAAACGCTGCTCCTCGGAAAGATATTTTTTTAACCATAAGCAGGGACAAGCGTCGTCTTTGGAGTATTTAAATCGTTGGTAGAAAGTATATATAGATAATTGATATATTAGAGATTAACAGGCACCGATATGTCGACAGGAATAATTCTAACGTCTAATGGAACAGTTAATTAGGTCGCGCGTTAAGAATTAGCCTTCACAACCATTAATCGTGTAAGTACTTTTACACAGGACAGAGAACAGAGAAAACACACGTTGCGAGCCCGCGCTCGTTGCAGAGGCAGATCCGCGAGGAACATAAACGAGGACCAGGTTTCACGTTTCATTCCAAAGACATCAATCCCGTGTTTCCCCGACTGCGATTTTTATCGTCCGTTTTGGCTATTTCATTGTGTTATCCTCTTGTGTGCGTGTTCAGGAACAATGTCGAAGGAGATTAGAGGTCCTCGAGGAAGATACAACACGTACACTCGTTACGTAAGCGAAGGACTTGTTACTCTCTTCTAAAAAAAAGAAAAAAGACAGAGGGTAAAAGGGGGATGAAACGAAGCAAAAAGTAACGAGAATAAATGAATAAGTTAAAGAGAAAGAGAGAGAGAGAGAGAGAGAGAGAGAGAGAGAGAGAGAGAGAGAGAGCGAAAGAGAAGTGACGG